AAAGTCAGAATTCTGACTTTTTTCCCATACTATACTGAAATAAAATGTAAAAATCAGTTAACTTTTTTTTTCCAGTGGCCCTAATCCTCTTCCGTAGGGTGGTCAGGGTGGATTGGGGGTTGACAGAACTGTGACATTGAGATTGTATTGACACTTTAAATTTGTCCCAACTATGTCTGTCTTATGTTCAAAATGTTCAATAAACAAAGTAAAAAAAAAAAAAAAAAAAAAAAGTTAGTACAGGAATCTAGAATTTTCTTATTAGAGCTGCTGTTTAATGTTGAAATCATTTAATTGAACATTTCCACGAACCTTTTCTGATTTTCATTTTGTCCTTCTGTTTAAACAACAAAGTATTGTTTTATATATCAGTGTTTTTGATTAAAATGACTTGTAGTTTGCTGCTTTTTTGTTTGATACCGCCTCAAACATTTCATTAAAAAGGGAAGTTATAGCAGTAATCAAGGCTGTTCTTGTGTGGGGGGGGTTGGTGGCGTTCAGCTGGAACTACCTTTAGCCCAGTTAGCGGATCCGGGGTGAATCTTCATGCCTCCATGTTCCGGATTAGGTCTCAATCCTGACAGTGAAAGAAGAGGCAGAATAATCAGCAGCCAATCCGCTCAGAACCGGAACACAAATGATATTTTTTTCCTTTAGTCCTTTTTACGGTTTTTACCGTGAGGAAATGTGGTCCTGTTGTTGCTGGCTCTTGGATCAGGGCTTATCATCCTTCATTTTAAAATAGTCTGACTAAACCAGGGGTCGGCAACCCAAACTGTTCAAAGAGGCATGTTGGACAAAAAAAAACAACATAAAACAAATCTGTCTGGAGCCACAAAAAAAGGAAAAGTTCTATAAAATCCTTGTATGGCAGCACTGGCTTTAAAGGCTGGTTTATGCTCAGAAACCAGGTCGTCTGCGTTTGTGTTGCAGAGAACGCAGACATGCCCCTCCTTCTGCAGACACCCTGCTGCACCTCTCCAAAATTGTAGGTGACCGCAGACAGTGCTGCAGATTGGAGGCCTCTGGTTGGTCGAATCATGTCATGATCTGCTCTGATAGCTTTCCTTAATTGCTTATTTCACTGCCTAGTTCTGCCCAGTTCCTAATCAACTCTGATCTCATCCGCCTGTAGGTTTTTTTTAATATTCGGTCCAGCTAAGCTGTTTGGTCGTTTTTGGTTTAGTTCCAAGGTTCGTGTCCTGGTTCCTGGGGGCCAGTGGAGTGAAAGGGTTTTCGTGTCTGTCTTAGGGATGCAGGATATTGGGATTTTGGCCAATATCCGATATTTTAAAACTCATGTAGCCGATAACCGATATCGATACCGATGTTAAAGCTGGACAAAAATAAGTAGTCATTGAAAATAGCAG